CTAGCGCCGCAGGCTAACGAATAAAACCAATCATTGAAGCTAGCGCCGCAGGCTAAATAAGGGGGTTACCGCTCAAGCTTGCGACAGGCTTTATCTCGAAACAAACCCGCTCGAGCCGGCGCCGCTGCGCCGCAGGCCTAATAACGACACTAGCAATTTAAGCTTGCGCCGCATGCGAATACAAAGAGGTTTGCATGGGAGATGTGTTTTTCTTTCTTCAGTGTAACTTTATGTGTAAGGGCGCTCGATTCATAGGGCCTAGACGGGGTCCAGCGGGGGAGAGTCGCGAAGCGGCTCCTAGCCCGCTGGTTCTCATAATAGAAGCAAAATGTCCACTTTCAGCTGTTTGAAATGTTGTGTCATGCACGCGACTACGTTGAAACTGTGCCGGATGTCTCGCCAGGCGCACGAAAAATCAAAAGCTGTTTAAGAGATGCTGGCCTGTTTGTGTCTTAACTTTTTTGCCAAAATTTAGCGATTCTGTAGGGTTTTCTGTGGATTCTGTAGGGCACACCTGAGGCACAGGTGCTTGAAAGCGCAGCCAGACGTCTAGACGGGCTTGGCTCATCGGACCAATGTCGTCTTCCATAATGAGATTGTTTTTTTCGATTTCAGAACCGCCCAGTATCCGAAAAAATCTATCGATGTCATACGGCATCTAGAGGTTAGATTATGATAGGATAAAGGATCAACTATAACAATTTTCTTGACGCGTCCGTCCGTCTGTCTGTCTGTCCGAAGCCGGATTCAACTCGAAGGGGAAAGGAGCTAGAGCTTAGGTCTCTTCGGATTCGGATAGAGCGCCGTCAGAAACCCCAAACTGATAAAAAAAATTACGGAAAAGTTTTAGTTCAAAATTATTAAAATTAACTTTGAAAGCGGAGCCTTAATAAAACGAGTGGAGGCCTCTCTCGGGAGGCCACGCCCCTTCCCACGCCCAGTTCGCTTTTTTTTGAGTTATTTTTAATACCTTTTTAATACTTTTTATTTATGTTAATTCATTATTTAAATCACTTAAAGTATCTAAAGCCTTCGAGATGGTATCCAAGTAGTTTTTGACTGGGATTTCAGCTATGGGGGTATCTAAAGCCATCAGGAAGGTATTTAGGTAGTTTTTTAAGGGGATTTCGGCCAGGGAGGCATTTGCAGCCATTAGCGTCGGTATTGATAGAGCCTAGGGATGGATGTGATGGTGTATTACAGAAGGATAGCTCGAAGGCCAGATGGTTACAGTCGCGAAGCGACTGGAACCATCTGGTATAGGATAAATAACAAAACTCGGGCGGTCGGGGAAATAGCGTAATAACTATCAGCGATAAAGTGATATTAATCAAACGGCATTTCAGCGCTGTTACTCGTCAATCACTTCGTGATCGTTGGCTCATCTAGACGCTACATTCAACATAGCATTCATATATATGACATTTGACAAATAAAGTGAGAACTGTCGCCAATACTCCAGAACTACCTTCCGAACACATTTACCCCCGAACCAGGCCGACTAGGACGTTGCCGCAAGTGACAATATCATTCGCGAAAACGACAATACAAGCGACATTAGCGCAACTCCGCTAAAACGACATTTCCGGTCTTTCTAAAGTAGTATTTTCGAGCGTCAGGGGCTGAAGATCGTATAAAAAAGCCTCAATGCTGCTCTCAAACATTTCATAGCGAAAGAACTTCGATATAGAATTTAACTTATTAAAACCCAGAATGCTAGAAAAAGAGTGTTACCCAATTAAGGTAACACACCCAGACGAAAGCTAGCCATGCTACCATTCGTGGGTAGTGTTATATTACGGCATTTGCCGTGCATTTAAAATCGTGAAGAGGTTCAATCCGATCGTGTGCCTACCCTATTTCTTCCCCGCGAAGGCGCATGCATTCAAAACAATCGTGTCGACCCATTTGCATGCCGTAACTACCCCCTTTGATCGTGTCAGCCAGTCAATGGCTATCCGCTAATTTAATTCAGATTGTTGTTATTCTTTTCTTTGCCGCGTTTGTGGCACAGCTTTTATCCTACCGCATTGAACTATAATGAAATATGTGTATAATGGATTTCTGGAGTTTAATTCGGAAATTTGCTTTCAACTATGTTGATTAGGACCGAGTAATGGCACGACTGGAGAGAATTATCGCTAGATCTTGAGATCAGCAAAATCAGACAGAACCAGAAAAATTACGGGCGTTTCAAATTTCGCCAAGGCTTGGGGGGCTTCAAAATGGCATTTTGCACTGGGGAGCGGACCTAAAAACTCGCCAATAGATTTTTCTTTCAACCTGATAGTCGATTACTCAATTAGTGATGGTCCCTTACTCAGCTCTTCCCGGGCCCACCCAAAATCCCGGTTGTATTCCACCTGGATTTGGGGTGGAACGCATGGAAATCGGCTGGATTGGAAACGAGTGGAAACATGGGGAATCGAGTGGAAACACGACGCAACGCGTGCCGCACGCGACGCGGCAAATGGAAATCGAGTGGAAACCGGGCGGATCCGATCGATTTCCAACTGATTTACCGCGCATCCACCCGCAATCCGGTCGATTTCCACGTGGAATCCGGTCGCGTCCGCTACTGGAATTCCGATCGATTTCGCGAGCAGATGCAGACCGGATTTCGGGTGGACCCGAGGATCTGAGTACTTCAGATCGCCTCAATGTTCTATTCAGGACCCATGAAGCGTCGAACACTTGCACCACAAAAGCGCTATCAGCGCCGTGGAGGGCGCCTCGTTCGCGCTGAGACGTTGCCGCTTATCGAGCTTCCGGCCGATCTGATCGACGCGGTGATAGAAAAAGCTGGCATCCTCGAGCTGTTGCTTCTTTGGCGTACCAATCGGCAACTTCGGTAGGTTGCTATGCTGATGAAAATTTTAAGTGAAAAGGAAAAGTTGATGACCCATTACTCCTAGAGTTTCGGTCAAATGAGATCAAAAAAAGCGCTGTTGCTTTTTAAATACTGGAAATTTGCCGTTTGACGCTCTCAGTTGGAGCCCTCCGCTTTAGTTGTCAGGCATTTTGTTTACATATTGATCAGCTGAAACCGATTGTTTAAGCCCAATTTTCCTACCTTATATAATTTTGGCGCGTATGTGTGTGTGTGTGTGTGTGTGTGTGGATGTCACTTTCGAGGCCCGATTTGAGGGCCTTCCCGTGCATAAAATGCCCTAATTCTGCTTCACCCGGGGGAATCCACCCTCCTCTTTCCAATGGCGTTCTCAGAATTTCGATAAAATACAAGTTTACAAAGTTAGAGCCGGTTTTATTCATTTTTGGGGGTCCGGGAGGGCTAATTTGCATAATGCGGAAAAATACAAATTTCCTCATTCTTGCCAGTTGCACTCGCGAGTTTGGTTGGGGGAGGGGAGCTATCGGAGAGTCAAATTTTTCATGCAAAGGCCCAATTCCAGCGCCCAAGGCCCGCGAAGCGGGTTTTGGGCGCTGGTTAAACCATAAATCTTTTAGGGGCCCCTCAGAATCCCACCGATATTAAAATGAGAAGGTATTTCTGTTAACCTGATGGATCAACGAATTGGAACGAAGCCATAATCCGCTAACGCGCGCCGCAACGGGCCCCCTCTTCGCGCACCCGAATCCCCCCCCCAACACCTCTTCCTAGTTTTAACAGGGAAAACAATCAAATTTTTAAATTCTGGCCACAATTTCTGTATTCTGAGCACGTTTTGCCCCATATTAATCTTGCTAAAATCCAAGTTGGCGTCAAACTTGTCGGGATCCAGAAAATAGCCGACGGAAAAAGCAGTTACGTTTTAGTTACGTTTGCAAGTAAACTCTGATTTAGCTCACGCTAGTTTTCGTTTTTCCCGTTTTAAACTATACGATCAAACTGACTAATTTTAGAGATCGGCTGAAATACCGAGGCCTATTCCCTGGTCGCGTCGCCGATTATTATGTCTGCGGAAAAGTGGTGGAAACCGACGAAAATGCGAGGGTAGGAGGCTCAGAGGTGCGTGGAGGTTGTTACTTGTAAAAAACCCTGTTCTAACCGTGTTACTCTTATCGGGGCAGCATCTGTGTATGGCGAGGATGCCCGTTTTTAGATACCGTCTCCGAACTGTCGATACGAATACAGGACAGCGTCGGCACCGCTATCCAGTTCGCCAACTACCACCCAATGATGATTGTTACACAAACGTTAGCCCCCAATTCCCATAACCCATTTTTAAGTCTTTAGTGATCCTCCTCTGTCTGGCTTGGACCTGCGCAAATGGAAATCGGCGAGAACCTGGTAGTGAAATGGGGGATTCGGTTATACGGAGTTGCTGGTTCGGGGTCCGAGACTCACAGCAGCTGGGGGCTGGATAGCAAAGACAAAAAAACGTATTCAAAAAGGGAATTCGTACGCGTTTTAACAATTTCGCACTTTATTATAGCATTCAGCTTCGCCGAGAAATGGACGCCCCGGATGTTAGTTTCGCCCATTACTTCCCATTCCTAACCAGGATCCGCCAACCCCGCTACGCCAGGTGTCGCTTTCCTGCCACATATCAGACGGTAATTGATTTGCAAACATTTTACCGTTCCTAGCAACTACCGTATTCCTTTTCGTATAAGCTCATGTCAAGGCTTGCCATTTTTTTCCGGATTTTATTAGAATCAGCTGATAGTAGGAAAGTCAGCCATTTTTCTATCTACCAAAAGTATCGAAACTGGACGGCAAAAGCGATCATTTTACAGATTTCAGCAGTTATACCACATTTCCTACAGGAACGCGCACGCCGCTTTGCCGCCGCGAAGGATCCATTTGAATGGCTTGTTGCTGTGTCGCAGGCGGGGCAAGATTGATAGAGCATCCATGGGCCAAAAATCCATATTCGCGTATCCTTCAACTGCAAAAAGCCTTAGCCATACAGATATTTTGGATCAATAGACCGAAAATGATAAAAAAATACGTGATCCACTCAGCAAAAAAGGATACCGGAAATCTTTTTCAGTATTCCAGTGAGAGCATGGCTATGCCGTTTCAAGGCTCCGCTATGGTCCACAGATCAACAGGGGTAGGTGAATTGTGTTTTATGGTTTTTAGTGATTTCAATTACGAAAAGATTGTGAAAACAGCTTAAAAAGCTTTTGGATCACTGGGGGGGATCCTTTCTGGGAATTTTTCATCCCTTTTCGACCAAAGGCGGCTTCTTATTTCTGAAATTCTGACATGCATTGCTACTCAAATCGACAATTTTAGTTGTGGGATGGTATCCATGCTCGTAAGCCGTAACCAACCGAATTTAGCTTGAATCGGAAAAGCGCTTGAACGAACCTGCTAAACCGACAATGATCTGGATCAGCATGGGAAAAATTACATTTAGGGGATGAACAATAGATTTTTTTTGAGGGGTAAATGACAGTTTTTGAGATCATAGTGAGCAAGACGTTTTTCGTTCGGAAAATTTTTGCCAAATCGGAATTTTCAGATTGGTTGCCTGTTTGAAGCCTTCACTGGCGTGCAAGGCGCTACAGTTCTCGTCGATTGCCCGAAAACTTTAATCAAACTTAAGCAGCACTTGAAGGCTAAGGCGGAAAGGCTAAACCTAAATCAGGTATGGTTCGAGCAGACTTGTTGAAAGTTCGACTTACGGTAAAGTGTATTTGCTTCGATCGAAATTTCCAAGCGGAATTCTTGGGTTACCCGAAACGAACCAGTCAGTCAGTAGGGGCCAACACCTCTATTTTTACTTGGCATGCTTAAATTGTCCATCCAGTAACTTTTTGGAAATGGGTTCGGAAATCAGAAAGGAAGTCGAACGTTCAATGAGTGCTAGCAGCGGACAGCCTTCCGTGCTCGAAGGGCAGAATCTGTTGAAATCGATTTGTTTAGGCGCTTCGTATCCTGGAAGAAGCTGATCGACAAGCAGACGTAAGCACTTTGCTGGGAAATCTCGCCTGCGTTTTAAATGACGTGCTGATTCGACAGAGCGTCCCAATAAAAAACGCCAACCTCTACCTCGCCGCAGAAGTATCGGGTCGGAATGATAATTATACCATTCGAAGGCCCTTGAAACGGCGAGCTTGCGACAATCTTCAAAATCATGTGTTTTTTTTTAATTAAACCTGCCATTTTACAAGCCATTTTGTAAAATTTTGTGGCTTTGCGTGGTTGCCTATGAGCTAAATTGCCACAATTTCTGCAAGCAAAATGACCGGAAGTAGCCGTTGATTAGATGTAGAGGGCCTCGTTAATGTTTTTTCAATGCTTTGCAAAATAGTGCGTTTAAAATAAAAAACGGTTTTGAAGATTGTTGAAAAATCGTCGTTTTAAGGGCTTGCGAATGGTGTAACTACCATTCGGATCCAATACTTCTGCGTCGCGGTAGAGGGGGTGTTTTTTATTTGGAAACCCTGTATATCCATTCAGGGATTCCCGAAGCCTGAGGTGATCACCGACATGCTCGGGCAGCTAGAAGAAATGATGCAACCCTCCGGGAATTTTGCAAATGATTTCACCGAATTGATCATTCACCATATAACGTTTAAATCGATGCCTGCACTAATTCGAGCAGGTGACCCCCTGGTTTTTAGGCGCTTTCCTAGACAGTGAAAATATCAATAATTACTACCACTTGGGGCAACTGTACAGAGCCTTTTTAAGAGTCCCGTTTTTCATAACGTGGGTGTTTTGCTTGTGCTTTTGTTGGCAAATAACTGAAATCCAAAGGCATCATCATTCGAGCAAAATCTAATAATTACAAAAATCTGAGAAACAAGATTATATTTTTCCAACGTAAGGTCCAGGTGACGTTTCAGGATGCGGCCCATCCTAGCTGATGCGGCTAATGATTTTTTGGCCAAAGGGTTATAGTTATTTTAAGCGCAGCTTTGTTGTTTTGATTTTGTAATTAATTTTGAGTAGCCTATTTTGTGACTGGCAATAGTCGGTCACTTATGGGTGTGAGAAATGGGCTGTTTTCCACCATTTGCCAGTTCCACTCGGAGCCCATACCAGGCGTATCGTCAATTTTTCGATTTTCAAAAATGTTGGTTTGAGCAGCCTATTCAATCCAGCGAATTTTTCTGAATACGATGGGAATATTCGGTGCTGAGAAATCAAATCAAAGGCAAAATAAATCACTTTGAAGTTCGTAAATTTGGGGAAAAGTGTAGCTTTGAAATGCTCGAAACGAGCTATTTGGCCAAAAATGGCAACGGATTCCGGAATCGGCAAAAAAATCCGCACAAAACAGGCTGTGTCCCATACCGAAACGCCACCTCTTGACCTTACGTGGTTCCCTTGTAAGGCGATCGCAGAACGCCCGGAAGTGTCAGGACGGTACTATGGACTAGTAGGACACTTTCACATGGACAGCGCCCGTGCTCCTGAACCCCAGCTAGCAGTGGGCGCCGAGGTGAGCAATGTTTAAAGTAGAATGGATCCGTTTTTGATAAGACTCCAGATACCCCCAGCCGGCACCCAACTTTGTATCTCGGCTCCCTTGTCATTCTACAGGGGTGTAAAGTATACCAAAATGTTCGTGTTGCTCGCGCGAGCATTTTGATATACCTTACACACCTGTAGATCAACAGGGAGCCGAGATACAAAAGTTGGGGGTCGGACGAATTTTTTGTCATGAAAAATTAGTCGTGATAAGACTGATTGCTCACTTCATATCTAGAGAGTCGATTATTGCTTGTCAAATTCCAAGGAAACGGAAAACGGAAAACAGGGTTTCCAAAAAAACGAACCATCTGGCATTTCGCCGTGTTACATCCAATCGGTCCCAAAATTCGACCAGAGGGGTATCAACCCTAAATAACAACAATCCTGACTCACAGCCCTATAGATATGGTCGTTCTCGAGTTATAAACCAAAATACTGCTTTTCCGCAATCCAAAACAGTTTTTTCAGCTACCTTTTTGAACTTTGCAACGATTTGCATCGAGTTCCGGCTGCGGATTGAAGAGTTGGGGGTACTTCGCGTTGTAAAAATCTCTTAAATCGACGCTTATTTCATTGCCTTTAGCCCGGAAAAAAGTTTCTTCAGTTACGAAGACGTCCCGAATCATTTTCACTTATTGTTTAGGGGGGTATGATTCCATGGAACCCTATGAAAATGGCAAATAAAATTTATTTTTGCCGTAATCAAAAATCTCATGTAGGCATGAAGCTATAAGTCAGGATTCTATATTTAGGGTCTGATACACCTCTGGTCCAATTTTCGATGACGGCGAAATGCAGGATGGTTTTATTTTTGGGACATCCTGCAGATTTTGGGTCATCACTTCAAAACAATCCTTAGCTATTTGGCCGTAAATCAGATTTTTGTCATTGAGGGTCCGATCACCTCTGCGCAATTTTGAGACCAATTGTTTGTAAGTCGGTTAAATACAGCGTGGGACTTTTCCTTGGGGCACATGCCTGCTATTTTGAGCTCCACGCAATCTCTCGGTCATGCTGTGACGATATCGAGTTGATGGCTGATGACGACGCAGAGACGGGAAGGCAGCATCGTTTGTTACGGAAACGATAGGCCGGTGAGTGTTTTCACTGTGCGGTAGTGAAGCAGACACGGTACTGTTCTGTTAGCGGGGGGGGGAATTTTAGCGGGGACCCATTTTAGCGCCTACGGAGTCGTAGGGGGCCTACCGTACAAAACTGCGCGACAAAAATTATTTAAATTCTGAAGCTGACGGGGCATCCAGGCAAAGTCTACAAATGCCGAGCCGCACATCGAGGTGGATCCTAGCCCCTAAATACGTGGTTATCAAACTCATTTCAGATTTGCTGTTCATCAATCGTTTCCGGATGATCGCTTCGTCTGGGCCGGATGTGGTCGCCCTCAGTGTTCATATTTTTGACCTTGAGACCTCAGGCGGATTCACCTCTCACGAAATAAAATAACTAATAAACCGATATTTTTAAAGGCATCGGCAATCAAGCACCAACATCGCAGGCCAAGAAAATACGCATTGTAGCTGACTGCATGAGCGACAGAGAGAGTGCGAAAGAGAGAGAGAACGCAAGATATAGATAGAGAGAGATCTCCGGCCCAAGCGGGCTATCCATCATTACTTCTAAAAGTCATTACTTCTAAAAGCATTATTTCTCCAAGTTCGTACGTCGCCTTAACGGTTTTCGGCACGTTTGTCCATATTTGTTCCTAAATCGCTGATAATTATTAAGAATTTAAGATATTAGGCTTACATTATTCATAAATTCCGAGAAATGGCTATTCCGCTAAAACGGTAACGATATTCGGAATCAGCGTAAAATTCTGCACTAGATAGGCGTGGTCGCATCCCAAAGTCCCCACGACGGTTTTAGGGTATTTCTATGCCGCGGGGAAATTGCGCCTGAGGCACGATCAACACCCATATGCAGATGGACCATTTCCAAATGATAGTGGGTAGAGCGCCAAATGATCGCATCTGCGCAGACAAAGTCGAGGAGCGGCGAGTATATGCAACCTCTGGCGCTGGACATCCATAGGTTCGTTAGGATTCGCGGCGGAACCCCCCTAATGTTTTACACTACCCTCAACATAAAAGCTGTATAAAAATTTTATTTGAAAATTTAATTTTCGGGCAAAAGGTTTGTTTCAAATTTCAAGCCGTGAGCATCCTCCGACCCGCCATGCGTGCATTTTCTGTAGATCAACTATTAATTTAGATGCTTCCCTGCGGACTATGCCAGAAGCCCGTCGATCCGACGCAGCTCGCGCATCACTTAGGAAAGCGATCATCCGCTTTCGGGAAAAGACGAACATCAAAGCTCGCTAATCAGATCCTCGGGCCTTATACGGAGTGGGCGAAAGCCCAACTGGCGATGGCCGCCAAATCAGCCGCTCCACCACTACTTGAACAGGAGATGCTCGAGGAAGACGCCAAGGCTCCTGCTAAAAGGCCCCCATCGCTTAAATAATCATGCTTATTTTTCGATTTTATATCAGTTTATATTCGCTAGTTCTTCTTTTTCTTTTCTTCAATAAACCTTTAACAATCTGGAAAATTTCTGCCGGACCTACGAGGACTGGGAGTACACAATTTGCGGCGAAATGGCGAATTTTTTAGCATCGCCGCCCTGGAGCCGATCACCGATTGGCCCGACGCGAAAAAGACGCGCTTCGGGCTCGGCTTCATCGACGTCATCACGGACGTGTGCGTCTCCTACGGTCTCGACATGAATGCCAAGGGTAGCGGCCTGAATTTGGTGAGTTTTTCGTGTGTGAAGCAGCTTACACATCTCTTGCCTCATTTTTTTGCCATAAAAACTTGTAAATCTTGCGTTTAGCTAACACCATCTCAACAATCGGCCGCTCTGATGTGCTCAAGCCGTCGCAAGCCGCCAGCTCACACGATGCACCTCCATTCCGGCGCAACGATGGTCGGTTTTGGCCTTTTAGTCTTGAACTTTGGGTACAAAAGTAGCGTTTGTTTCCACTGCTCTTTAAATTTTGAAATCAATGGCATATTTTTTGGAGAAAAGAAAATCGGATTGATATGTCGAAATTCGCGCATTGAAAATTCACATCGAGAGCGAAAAAAACGGAAAAGGCAGATATCCAAGGCAGAAGTCCCTAGCTTTTTCTGTTTAGTTTTCGTCCGTTACCATTCTGTCATTACCTCATTCTGTCATTCGCACGATGGACTACAACGTTCTGAAGGTATCATTTGCCGGTAAATCCTTTTCATTTTCATTTTCTTCCATTTTCAGATGCTGCTTCGAATTCTCGAATTCGAGTTTGGCACGCAGAATGACGGTGAAGAGCCACCGACGTCAGGAGTAGCTTCTGGGGAGGTAAAGGTTTTGCCCGGTTAATTTCATATTATTTTTTTAGACTTCCGCGCCCGCTGTCCCAGCCTGGATAACGGCGCTCCTTACAGCCCGTGGTCAAGAAATCGAAACAATAGAATTATTTTTGCTATACATTTTTCCGAAGTTTGTTTGTAGCCTTCGATTACGGGTTGTGATCTCGCTTTTTTAGTTGTTTTCCTACATTTTGCGTTGTTGAGGATAAATATGTATTTCTCTCGTGATATGAACAGGACATGTTTTGAAGGATGGAGTGTGAACTGTGACATTTAGTGAAAGAAGAACTTTTCTCCATACGTCTCTCTCTATCTCTCTCTCTCTCTCTCTCTCCCTCTCTCTCTCTCCTCTCTCTTTTTATTTATTTTTAGATATAAAAACTTACGAACAGTTTTCCAAGATTATAATTTTTTAATTTCTACCAACGAAAAATGAGCAAAACACTAAATTGCTAATTGTTAGATTGTTGTTAAATAAATTGGATCGCGCGAAAGGGTATGGGTTCAAAAGTGGTGACCCGGCCCCACCTCCCTTCTTATAGTGTCACCGAATGACAATCGTCCCAACCCTTCTTCGTCGTCTTCATAACTTTTCTTCGAAATTCCCACAGACCCCCTGAAATCCGGACTTCATATGGCAATATCTTTGCGCAGCGTGAATAGCGTAATCAGTAGCGTTGCGCTGCTGCTCAAAAATGTTAAGGGGTTGGTAGTCGAAGAATCCTCGATGGTGCAAACAATCCACAAAAAAACGAAATGTTTTTACATTGTTTTTAGCAAGTTTTCAACTATATTTAAAGTAAAAAAACCTTTTTTAAAGTTCGAAGATGGTTGAAAAGCCGAAAATTTGGTTATTTTGGCTCAAAAAAATCAATCTTCCGACCTAAAATTAATTTTTTGAAATGTTTAAAGTCTTATGCTTAGGAATTGTTAAGAACAATTTAGAAACACATCCGCTAATTATAAAAAAAAATTTAGGCTTGGGCGAAAAAGTGCTGCGTCAAAGTCAATGCGG